GATCAGAGGCTACTCTTGCACTGACTTTTCTTGTTGCAGTGCTCACACTCATAGCGTAAGGGCTCCATAGTTGTGGAGCAAAGGTCTAATTGTCCCTTTGTGTGTGTACTCTTCCGGGACCAGGGATCAAATGTCCCTTGTTTTGGACCACTGGACCATCAGGGAAGTCCAAGTCCTGGTATTTTAAGACTACAATCTGATGACAGTGAATGTTTTTTCTGTATGTTTCCCTGATCACTGATGTCCAGTCATTTTATTTCCCCTTCTGCGGAACACCTGTTTATGACTTTGCCCCCTCTGCTCAATCTCTTTTTCGCTTTTGTCTTCAGTTCAGTTGCTCAGTCATATTTGACTCTTTGCGACCCCGTGAACTGCAGCACACCAGGCTTCACTGTCTATCACCAGCTCCCAAAGCTTGCTCAAACTCATCTCCATCAAGTCAATGATGCTTTCCAACCATCTCTTCCTGTGTCATCCCCTTCTCCTGCCTTCAATCTTTCCCACCATCAGGGTCTTTTCCAATGAGTCAGTTCTTCACATCAGGTGGCCAAAACATTGGGAGTTTCAGCTTCAGCATCAGTCTTTCCAATGAATATTCAGGCCTGATTTCCTTTTTTTAATTAATTAATTAAAAAATTAATTGGAGGCTAATTACTTCACAATATTGTGGTGGTTTTTGCCATACATTCATATGAATCAGTCATGGGTGTACATGTGTTCCCCATCCTGACCCTCCTTCCCATCCCCTTCCCCATCCCAACCCTGTGTCATCCTAGTGCACCAGCCCAGAGCACCCTGTCTCATGCATCGAACCTGGACTGGCGATCTATTTCACATGTTTATTAATGTATATTAATATATACATTATATGTATATGTATATATAATATATATTAATATATATGTATATTAATACATAAAACATGTATATTAATACATGTTTCAATGCCATTCTCTCAAATCATCCCGCCCTTGCCTTCTCCCAGAGTCCAAAAGTCTGTTCTTTACATCTGTGTCTCTTTTGTGGTCTTGCACATAAGGTCATTGTTCCATTTTTCTTAATTCCATATATATGCGTTAATATACTGTATTGGTGTTTTTCTTTCTGACTTACTTTGCTCTGTATAAGGGCCTGATTCCCTTTAGAATTGACTGGTTTGATCTTAAGACTGCTTTTGTCTTAATAAACATTTTAAAAAAATTCTGACCACTACTCCTTTGTCAGTTCTGTATTCCAAGTATCTGCTTCCAGTTTGTCTTTTTATGGTATCTTTTGATGAACTTTTTTTTTGGAGGGTCTAGTTTGAAGAACTCTTCTTTTCTCAAGGTCTTAGATATTCTCCTATATATATATATACATATGTATATATGTGTATATACATATTTTTGTTGTTGTTGTTGTTAATTTAGAGTGGAATGGAACTGCAGGCCTGGTGCTTTGTTCTTTCCAGATTCTCCAATTCTAACTGGAGCCATATTCAGCTTCCACTTCTCCCTCAGTTGCCTGACGTTCACTCCATACTGTTTCTATTTCAATGTCTTTGGACCATGCTTCTTCTCATCTGGTGGCCTCCTCCTATAACAGGCCCACTCAGTCTCCATGTGGCAACCCTGTGATGTGTCACAGGAAGTTGGGACATGTTATCCCAATTATGGGTTAATAAATAAAGTACTAAAGGGTCGGTTATTTCTTTCAAAAATTTTTAAAATATCAGTGAGAGGTTCAAGACTGTCCCAATGTCACTCTCACTTTCCAGCACTTCAAAATGGCAGAGAAAGGTCACAGACAGGTGAGGTGTGTGTTATGGATGGAGGAGGACAATCACAAACCCACCCAGTGCTTTGCCTCTCTGCCCATTTCTCTTCGTTTGTCAGTACCAGGTTGCACCCGTAGGATGTGCACTGCGCTAGAGAAAAGCGCTGAGCAGCCTGGGTCTAGGCCGAAGTTTCAGTGGCAGTGTCCCAGGGTGTCCACACCTAGAACGTCTCCCAGTTCCAGGTCACCCTGCTAGAAAAGCCTCTTTTTAAGCCTATGCCCTCCTCAAAACATGTCAGTAGTGTCCTGATGCTCAGAGGATAGTGCCCAAACCCCTCAGCCTGGGCTCCACCCTGGCCCCAGCCACACTTTTGTCTACCAGTACTACCCACAGTTCCCAACGCCACGCCCTTTGACGCCACATGGATCCGTTTGTCTGCTTTTCCTCATGTCTTCAGTTGGCAACTTCATTCTTCCTGCTGAAATGTTCACCTCCAGGAAGCCTTCCAGGGATTATCTGCCCATGGGTTCCAATCATGTTTTGTCAAGAGTCGTGTGTGCCTTCCAGACAAGACTGTGAGCTCTGTACTTACTCAGCAGCAGTTGAAAGAGGGCTCATGGCCCTGTGCCATCTGGGACCCAGACATGATGCCAGGGGTCAGCATGGGTGGTCATGCAGTATCAGAGGTGCCCAGCTAACACAGAAGACAGGCTGAGAGTAACTGCTTTGGGGAAACAGTGAGTGAGCAGTGAAGAGAGAGTTTAGGAAAAATCAAGGGATCAGAGTAGTTTATTGAGCCCCTTTTATTCAAAGTCCCTTGCCCTCTTCCTATTACTGTCAAATGAAAGAGCCAAAGCACCTGTGTCCTGCTTGTGTGAAGAGGTAGAGGTTTATTGAAATATAAACATTCGAGAACATGTAAGATAGAAAATAACCACAACATATACAGACACTTGCTGCAAAAGGACTTCTGAGGTATTCATCCACTGCCTAGGCTACCCATGTGCTATCACATTTTTTTTTTTCCTGGTTAAATACAAGTAACACGGGGAAGAGGAGGGGACAGAGCGGCCCCGGTCAATGGCTGCCATGTGACCTCAGGGCTGCACCGTCCAGAGAGCTCTTCTTGGCCCAGGGCCCCATTCTGGGGGCACTGGCTGGCACGCCTACCCTCTGGCTTTCAGGCTGAGACCCTGCTGTTGCCCCTCAGGGCAGCGAGGCCTTGCTGAGAGGGTGAGGCTGGGCAAGCTGCCCGGGGAAAGGGAGAGGATCCAACCACCAGGAAGACACAGCACACGGTCCCTGTGTCTTCTGGGTGCAAGGGGCCATCCTTCGTGACCAAAGTCCTGAGAAAGACACATGGGCCAAATGTCTGTGATGCCTTCAAGTGGGCCCAGCACCAACCAACCGGGCTCCTCCCTGACACCGACAGCAGATGCCCCTCTCTGCCCAGCCCTGTGCCGGCCTGGTGAGGCCGGGAGAGGGTCAGCCCCCAGTGGATGGGGCTGTGTGTGTGTGTGTGTGTGAGAGAGAGACTGTGTGGGTGGCTGGGGGAGAGGGAGGAGATGCAGTCAGCGACGCGGCAGCTCACGGGGCTGAGGTATGTGTTCTGTGCTCAGGTGTCTGATTTCCCTTTCCTTTCCTAGCCAGACTAAGCGTGGGGCGTGTGCGGACTTGGGTCCACCTCGGCCTCCCACCGCTACCGCAGGATGATGTCACAGTGGGCGGGGTTCCAGTGAACACTGCAGAGCGAACCTGACGGAGAGGTGAGCCGTGTGTGAGAATCACCTCTTCTTTATGACACAGGAGCATCCTGTTTCACCCCAGCGCCCAAGAGGAGACAGAGCTCTCTCAGCATCTCCTCATCTTCTGGGGCAGCTCGACCCCTGCAGCGTCCATGGCCTCCATGGCCTGCGCCTGCCCTGAGGTGGGAACGCTGAGTGAAGGGGAGACGCCCTGACCCTAGCCCAGTGAGGGACTGCCCTGCTCTGGTGGGAAATGGGTCAAGGGCCATCCTGACAACCGGTGTGGTTTCAGGACCCAACCTGTGTGAGAGGGGTCCCTCCGTTCCAATCCTCCCACCGCTGTGATCCCTGAGTCATCTCTCCTGCTGCCTCTCCCTCCTCCTCACTGGGGGGATCTTAGGGAAGGGCCAGAGGGGCTGGGGTACCAAACCATTTGCTTGGCTTTGGGGGAGATCTGCTTTCATTTCTTTGGTGCTACAGTAACAATAAAAATTTTAAAGTAAAAAAAAACACAAAAGTCAGCAAACACATATAAAAAAGATTCCAGAGATGCAAATACTTCCTGAAGAATCAAACATCAACAATTACAAATCTGAGGTATTTCAATGAACCTGACACTGGCAGGTTTGGGGATGTAGGGGCTGAGACGGCCCCCCGCCGAGAAGAGGAGGGGCCTGAGGGACAAGTGGGCTGTTTCCTGGGAGAGCTGGCCAACAGGGATGAATGGGGTGGGGGTGGGGGTGGTGTGAGGTCTGGGTGGGTCAGAAAAGGGCCAGTGGAGTGGGTGCCAGGGTCTGCTTGGGCTGCCCCCGGGGCTCTGCTTCTCCCTTGGCAGATGCCCAGCAGGTCCTGGGTCCTGAGGACTGCCCTTATCAGCCCTTGCTCGGAACCATTAAAAGGGGATATGGGGCCCTGAGGACTGCTTCAAAACATGAATTTGAGGGACCCACACTCCACGAACCAAACATGGTAGGCAAGGTGGACTGGGAGGACCCCATCCCATGCTCAGCAGAGAAGGGCCACAGAGGTGTGCTCTTGGCTCCAAGCAGCCCCACATAGGAGTTAAAGATGGGGGAGTTGAGCAGGGGAAGAGACGAGTGATGCTGGAGTCACAGCAGAAGGCAGGGGGAGAGAAATAAATTAAAGGGGAAGGGGTGTGGAGGGCCTTCAGCCCTGTGTCAGCTTACAGATTGTCGATACACTGTGCCCGGGATGGGAGGCGGCCTGGGAGCCCGGGAGCAAGCTGGATGCCCAGACCCTGCCCAGTTCTCCAGGACAATCCCTGATTGGGCAACGCCGCCCTGTCAGGCCCCTCCAGCCTCTCCCTGCCTCCAGGTACAGCAGGACCTGATGGAGCCTGGGCAGACGGACATGTCCAAACTCTCAACATCTGGCCAAATGGTGTCTGATGTGGGCTCCATGAGATGAGGTAAATTCTGTGCATCAACTTTCGCCGCTCTCGAAGGGAGAGTCGGGAGTGGGGAGCTGGGTCCTGCCCCTCAGAGGGACCAGCTGGTGGAGGGCTCTGCACTGGGGGTGCCCCGGGATGAGGTAGGACTCGGTGAGCAGTGAGAACTGCTGCTGCTGCTGGAGCTGCTGCCGATGCTCTGGGGGGCAGATCCTGTGATGAGGTGGACTGCAGGTTTCTGGGCAAACAGCACACCTGAGTGAGTGGGGGAGGGGAGAAGGCAGTGTGAGCAGACGGGGAGAGCAGGGATGCGTGCAGGGGTTCAGTCCCTCACCATATCACTGCTGCCTAACTGGGTAAGGCTCCAGGCTGGATGGTGCCGACACAGCCCTGCCGGCAGGTGTGTCTAAGCTGCTGAGGGGGCAGTCATTTTGCTGAAAGGCCCCAAAGGCTCTAAGGGAAGTGCTCCCAGACCATGTTTAGGAAGAACAGAGATGAACTCGTCAAAGAAAGGAGACCTGTGCTTAGGAAGACTGTAATGGCAGACACATCTAACTTATGCGTGCGTGTACGCTAAGTTGCTTCAGTGGTGTCTGATCCAGTGAAGACCCTCGGTGACTCTATGGACTGTAGCCCACCAGGCTCCTCTGTCCATGGGATTCTCCAGGCAAGATTACGGAGACAGGGTAGCCATGCCCTCCTCCAGGGGATCTTCCAGACCCAGGGATCGAACCTACATTTCTTAGGTCTCCTGCATTGGCAGGCGGGTTCTTTACCACTAGTGCCACCTGGGAAGCCCCAATTTAGTTTACAATACAATGTTAAAGGCATGGATGGAATTGATTATGATTCTTTACATTCAATGACTTTTAATTAACGAGCCAACCACTGGTTAAAAAAGGGTTAGACAAGGGGTCTCTCTGACTTGGTCACAGGTGAAGGGGGGCCTGCCATCCGGTTAGCAGTCCTCAGTCCTCCTCATCCAGAACTACTTTACCTTTGGAACTTTGAGACAACATGAAAGGCCCGCCCCCTGGGAAGGTGTCCAGACAGGAGGGGGGCGAGGGGGCCCTGCAGGGAGCTGCACCGAGTCTGGCTGCCAGCCTGTACCTCCCTTACCTGAGTAAGTGGTACCATCGATGTCCACAGACATGCTGATGCTCCCAATGCTGCTTGTGGTTAGGTTCAGTGCTGCCGCTGAGGCCTCTGCTCTGTCCTCTGCTAGGGACAAGGGAGACAGCAGGCCCGGTCAAGCCCTTGGGCATTTCTGTCATCCCCTCTGAGGCGTGGCCACCCTCCCAGCCCGGCTGCAGCAGGCTGAGGCCTCCCAGAGTTAGAAAGCACCCGTATAACCTTCTCCCAGTGTAAGGTCTGGCAGGAGACCCAGGCTGGTCAATACCCTATCACTTGCTTTCTCCACTGACCCACTTCACTTCCCCAGCTTGCTCCGCTCTCAGAGAAGAGGGGTCACATTGGGAAGGAGGCTGACCTCGGCTCACAGCTGTGTACTGACCCGTCTGGTGCAATTCAACAAACCCTGAGCACCCATTATCCACCGGCGGGGGGTGGGGGGGGCCAGGTTGGGGGGAGGGGTTGGGGTCAGAGATCACTAAGACCAGCACCATCCACTGAGGACTCGCCTGGCTTCCTCCTCCCCTTTACTAGACTGGGAGGCCCTCAAGGAGGGGGTCTGCCTGTCCAGTCCCTGGCACTCCCTCTCAATCTGAGCCGTCCACGGCCTGTGAAAGGTGGCAGGCACTGGCACACGAGGCCTCTGCCCGGCCCACCAGAGACTCTCCGTTCCTGATGTCGAGAGCCAAGAATTCTTCCAGATGAGCTGCTTCATCTATTAGTCTCTGGCCTGTGCATGACCAGGGGCAGCTGGCCTGAGCAGGGAACAGGGCAGAGCCCTGCTGTTTGGGCCACCATCTCCAGTCTCCTTGGGCTCCTCACCAGGGGAGAGTGGGACAGGAAGGGGCTGCCTGGGAACATGCACAGCTCCCTTCACACCTGATTTTCCCCCAACACAAGCCTGCTCATGTTTGTTCTGAGACAGAGTCATGAATGGCAAAGAAATGTGTGAGGGGGAAAGGGGAGAAACAGGAATGAAGGGTGTGGGGTGTGTGGCTGCAGGGATGAGAAGGTGGGGCATCTGAAAAATGTGGAGGGCAAGGGACAGATGTCAATTATGCTGCCAAACTTGTATTTCCTCCTCCCTTCCCTCCTGAGGGCCACTGGCTGCCGGTCTGAGGCAGCTCCGGCCCCTTGCTGGGCCTTGGGAGCGGGGCGCAGTCTTTCTTCCAGGTGGTGGGCGGTGGGGAGAAGGGCGAGCCCTTTAACTGAGACAGATCAAAAGGCAGGAGTGGACAGGGAAGACCCCGCGACTGGCCCTGAAGGTCTCCGGCTCCTCCTCCTTGAACAACTGCTTTTCCTTTTTGCTACAGAGCAGGGCACGCCTGAGGAACTGCAGGCACCCCGGAAAATGACCTCAGCTTGGTGAACTGAGGTCTCTGTGGCCACTGAACCCGCAGGTGACCCCCTAGCCTCTAGATCCTTCTGCGGACCGGGTGACAGGGATAGGGGCAGAACCTGGAGGGCCCCCCCCCAAGTCCCCAGACATGAGCCCGCCCAGAATGGAGCTGGGGCTTGGGGCGCCGGCCGCTGCTTACCCCTGCCATTGATCCTGATCTTCATGGGCAGCTGCCGAGCCATGTTGAACAAGTTGCGCTGGAAAGCCTGCTGCACCAGGCGCTGCTCCTCCTCTGACAGTCTGGACACCTTCTTCTCAGGAGGCTCCCCTGACTCCAGCCGCTCCCGCAGCTGCTCCAGCGTGGCTGTCCGGGAACTGGCCTGCTGGCCGGCCAAGGACACAGGCACAGCCAGGCGATTTGGCACGGGCACGGTGGTCACCGGGACTCCATCACCTGACAAAGGCACCAGAGCTGGACCCAGCCCACAAGCCGCCCTCCCACCTGAGTCTTGGACCCAGGGAGTTTGGTGCCCCTTCTCCCCCAGGAGCCCTGCAGACCTTTCCTGAGAGGAGCTGCCGGGGATAGTCGAGAGCCGCTGGCACTGGTGCCACCACTGGAGCCCAGCCCAAGGATGGGGAAGCGGATCTTGGGTGGGGAGAGGAGGGCAGGGGCCCCGGCAGCCGTGGTGGGTGAGTAGCCAAAGAGGGAGGAACTATAGCTGGGCCGCCGGCCCTCCCTCCTGTTGCCGTCAATGGCTGCCTGCAGCTCGGCCGGGGAGCTCAAGGCTTTCTTCTCGCACTCGTAGGCATAGAGATATTTCATATACCTGGATGGAGGAAAGGAAGGAAGGAAGGATCACCCAAAATGCAGTGTCAGGACTGCCCAGTGTAAGCTGACGATCCTCTGCAAGGGGCCTCTGTGGGGCAGGCTCTGTCCTCTAGGACGAAGCAGCACAACCTGGTGAACTTGGTGGAAGAGAACCTTCAGGATAGCGGGACGCCCCAGCCCAGGCCCCCTAACTGCACCCAGGGCTAAATGTGGCTGGAACTGGAGTCATGGCTCATCAGGGAAACGGCTATCATCACTAATGTTTCGTGTTTGTGTGGCACCTTTCCAGTGCCCTGGGAGAAAGGAGAAATGCCATGTTTTGCAATGTCTTTTTGGCTCCTTGATCTCCTAACCATTCTGAGTCAGCTGTTCAGACAGGCGCAACTCTTCCTGTTGTGTGTAGGCCTAGAAGTGCTGTCCCGCTTCGTGTCAGATGCCCCAAGAAAGCAGTTCTCTACCTAAGAACCTTGGGAGAAAGATGGCTCTGCTGGCTGTTGCTCTGTTCCCAACTTCTGCAGGAACTGTTTCATTGGATAAGACCCTTCTAACTTTTCAAAAAGGCCTTAATATGCCACCCAAGCCACACACAGCTGATCCTTCTGTCTTCTTCACAGAGCAATATCCCGAGTTCCCAAAGAACGGATTCCCCTCTGGCCCCCATTCTTCAATGCTCCCCCTGCTCCTGCCACCCTTATAGTTAACTCAAATGGGTACAAAAACAGGTCACCAATCCCAGCACAGCCCTGCCTGCTTTCCTCTGGGTAAGCTGAATGTCAAATAGAAAGGGTCAGGCTTAGAGTGGGGGTACTGTGTAGGAGATGATGCCTTGGAAAGGTTGTGGACTTCAGAGACAGAAGTCCAGCTATGAACCTCAGCCTGCTTACTAGCTGATACGGCCCTGACGAAACGATCTAGGCTCTGAGACTTAGTTCTTATTATCGGGAAAACAGGGACAAAACCCACTTGGTGGGATTGCTGGTGAAATGGAATGAATGAAATGAAACGAAACGGAAAGGTGAAGCAACAGCACACAGGACACGCCTGAGAAAAGACGCTCAGGTTTACTTAGGTGACTGAGGGATTCATCTCAGAAAGCTCCTGGCTCTTTCAGGCATTCCGCCCATCTTGCTCACTACACGGTGGAATTTCCTTCCTTCCCTGCCTCAAGGTTAATTCCCTCTCACAAGCCTCAGCCTCCGTTCTGTAGGGCGCGGGCCACTCACTGGGTCCTCAGGGTGAAGGCGGCGCTGGTGATGGACGTGGGCAGGTTCAAGCCTTTAGTGATCTCTCTCCAGATCTTCTTGTTGATGATCTCCACCAGGCCCCCCTTCTCCGTCACCAGCTTATACAGCATGTACAGGTCCAGGATCTGCTTGGCCATGATGGGGATTCGGTTGATGGGGGTCCCTGCAATGGTGCAAGGAGAGAAACACAGGGCTAGGTCATTTTCAGGCAGAGAAAGAAGACATCTGTGCACGCCCACCTTTGGCTGAGTTGGAAATATGTTCACAAATCTGCTCAGAAGTAATTTGAGTCAAACTCCCAAAGCCTGGAAGCTATCAGGCTAGCTGCCAGGTCTCCTCGGGAAGAACAGAAAGACAGGTTCAACTCACAGGCTGCATGGCCTTGGGTAAATCACATGGCCTCTCTGGGTCTGTTCCCCGCTGTAAATAAGAGAGCCAGACTACATGACTTCAAAGATTTTATTTTTTTCCTAGCAATATGACTCCTAATAATTTGGCAACTCAGTCCTCTAGAGCCTTCAGAAGTCATTCGGCTGCCTCCCCAGTGAACTAACTCTTTCCTGACCCCTGCACAGGGGAGGGCGGGTCCCACCGTCCACCTGGACAGCTCCCGTGCTTCTCTTCTGTAGCTCTCAGCGCCGTTTATAACTGTGCTTTAATTTATTTGCATACTGCCTTGCCTTCTCCTCATCTCTTCTCCTGCTGCAGGACAGAGAAATGGGGTTTTTTTCTCTCCTGTGTCCCCACCATGTCAAAGGAGCTGCTGGGCACACAGGTCTCCAAGGGGATGAAAAGCCACTCAACAATTCTCTCCCCACCAATCACTCTACCCCCTCCCTGGCCTCTGAAAGAGGGAGGGTCAGAGCTGCTTCCGCCCCCTGGCCCCGAAGGGAAGTGACAGGAGTCAAGGACTTGATTAGGAAACCTGGCCCGGAGCAGGAAGGCCCACTAATGAGCACCCAGGGACGGCAGGGAGGGCGGGGCCAGGCTCCTTTCTTGGGCAGCCGGGAGCTCGTCAGGAGGCGTGATGGATGACTGTCATCTGGCAGCCCCGGGATTAATGATCTGGAGGTCAGAGGGGAGAATGCCAGCGGGAAGGGTCGCAGTCCGGGGCACAGTATGAGACCTGTTGCCTTTTGATGGCAAGTCCTCTTACTGTACGCCGGCTGCTCCTCCTCTGCCTTGCCACCACCCCCCAGGCCCCCGCCCACCCCCACTCCGGCTTGCTGCGGTCTCACTGACTGCCTGGTGGGCGTCAGGCCAGCTTGATTAGAGAAGGGCTGTTTGTTTCAGCTCCTCCTGCTTCTTTCCCCTCAAGGAATGGCATTTTCATCTCAGTCCTAGCACACTGCCCTCACTCTTTGTATAGGGTAATTCAAGCCAGAGTGGACTGAAGGGTCCCATGGTTATGCGGAAGAAGCAGTGTGAGCGCAAACACATGGCATTGCTATGGCGGTCCCAAGCCGCTTTCCTCAGTGTAGGAGGGAGCTAGAGGTCTTGAAGACCTTTGTCCTGACAAAGGCCAGGGAGTTAAATTAAAAGGATCACTGGTAAAATGTCAGAGAACTGCTGGCATGCTCCTAAGACACAACAGCGCACACGCTGGTTAACTTCTCCCTGAGCTGTTCTGGACAGTAGACTTCATTCCTGTCATAAGCACAGAAGTCTCACACAACAAAACTGGTCTCCCAGCAGACCAGGGCTAAGGTCTCCCTCCTCTGCAGCCAGTCTGCCGAGCCTTCAATGGCCTTGCCTTGAGAGCCTGGGAGGACCGCTTCCAAGGTTCCCTCCCATAGGACCCCGAAGCTCTCAATTCCAGAAGCTCCCGGAACATCTTTACACGTGACCCATTCACTTCCAGGTCAGATGTTCACACTCAGTTCCCCTTCATCCACTAGGCGAGCTCCCTTTTCCCATCCCTGCCTCTTCATCCAGCAACACCATTGCTCTGAGAGGTCTTAGGCAGGAACCTCAGGAGACTGCTCCTCTTCTCTCTCCTCCACCTTTAGGTTGTCTGGAGGCTCACCGATTCCTCCTCTGAGGCACCTTTCAAAGCTTGCTTGCTCTCTACAGCCATCACCCTGGGCCAGGCCCTCACTGGCTCCCCATTAGATGCCCCAGCAGCCTTGAATCAACACGCTCAACCTGCATGCTACTGCCAGACAATCTGATGAAAACACCACTTTCACCCCATTACTCACTTCCTAGTTTAAAAAACCCACAATGACTCTTATTGCCGACCCAGCCCACCTCACGTGTTCAATATCATGACTCAGGTTCCCAAACACTCCTTAGAAGACTGTGCATGTGTTATTTGCTGATTTGTGTCTGACTCTTTGCGACCCCATGAACTGTAGCTCACCAGGCTCCTCTGTCCATGGAATTCTCCAGGCAAGAATACTAGAGTGGGTTGCATTCCCTCCCCCAGGGGATCGCCCCAACCCAGGGATTGAACCTTGGTCTCCAGCATTGCAGGCAGCTTCTAAGCCACCTGCAATCTAAGCCACCAAGGACGCCCCCACTTAGAAGATTATGTATGATGTGTTTCAAGCACATCCCAATAACTTACTCTCACTCAATCAACTGGGTCTTCTCACCCTCATCCCACAACCCAACTTCTTTCTCCTCTATTTTCTGGGTTTTACTCTTCCTCTTCCTCAACTCTAAAATGATGCGCCCAAATCCTTCTTATACGGGCCTTCAATGTTCGCTCTCTCCAGGAATAATTTTCTAACTACCTTGGTTCGAATGTATTTCTTTCCTCTCTGAATTTCTATTATAACCACTACAAGCTCCACAAATAATTACGCATATTTCACTTATGCTTGTCTGGTATCCCAGGAGGATTGTAAGCTCCATGAAAGCAGGGACTGTTTTTTCCTTCATCATGTCTTGAATATTATAAAGTTTAATAAGTGAAACTACCATGTAGATTAAACAAACAACGGGCTTCTCAGAGTCAAAGCAACCAGCTCTGTGCTAACCCAACAGGGAATGTTAAATGCATTTTCTTCCTGTCAGCAGTGTGCCCGCCCGGGTCTGTCACTAGCTCTAAGTGTCTAATGCTGACAGCCCTGAAGAGAAGTCACCCTCTCTTCTCAGATACTGGCAGGTTCATGAGTGTCACGATCTTTATTAAACAGACTAGGGAAGTGAGGACTCTAGTGGTTCAGCCCTTGGCGTCTGAGTCCTACACTAAGAGGAGCAGCAGCACGGGAATGGCTGGAGAGCTGGAGATTTTGAGGAGGTAAAGAAACCATGAAGTCCTTCAGTGGGGCCACAGAGAAGGGGAGACAAGTGTTAAAGTGGCGAAGGTGGCTGGGTCTGAGATGTACACAGAACAGGTGTGGCTGAGTGAGTGACCATCAAGCTGGGCTTGCCCAGATGAGGGTGTGCCATCCTTCAGAAGTGTCTCCTTGGAGAGCCTGCTACCACATGGCTTTGGAACTCCACTTGCGAATAGCTTTCAGAGTTTATATTGTTTTCATTTGATTCTCTCCAACGTGGCAGACCTTCAAATATAAGGGTGTGTTTTACTTTTAGAAACAGGCATTCAAGGAAACAAGCCAGGAAAATAGGACAAAGTGAGCAGGCGGTTTATACTAATTTTGTGTGAAGATGAGGTGTGGCCATAAAGCATGACAGATTTCCTCGTGTGGCTCAAACTGCCTCTGAAGGCAACTCCCCAGGGAGGAAGTATAGATTCCCTCAGAGCAGTCACTGGACTAAATGTCTAGTCATTCGAGATGACTTCTTTCAAAGACAACATCATAGATGTGGAAATGTCATTAAAAATTCGCCTCTTTATAGTCACACAGCAAGTGACTGCATTAGGCTGGGAATTGCTCAGGGGCATGGGAAACGGGCGGAAACGGGCAGATACAGGACCTGAGAAGATGAATTAGGAGCAAAGTGGCATTCTGAGTCCCCAGAGTGACCTCTCCCCTACACCAGGGCTGCTCGGCCACCCGCCTCACTCTGGGCACGCGGGGGTCGTGATTTCTCTCAGAGGGGCCCCTACTGCCTGGCCAGGCACCCCAGTTCCAGGAATCGGCGGGTAACAGGAACAGGCGTTTTCCTCCTCATGGATGGCCCTCCACAAAACCCCTAAAAGTAGCGTCCAGAGCAGGTGGGCCCCTCAGTCCCACCAGAAACAAAGCTGATTGTATCCTACAAGCCAACTTTAGATGATATCATGGCTTTCTCACATTAAGCAGCCAATCCGGACATAAAGCCTGCCCTGGCTTTGACTCTTTCAACAACTGAGAGACAAGCAGGGTCCTCAGGCCAGTCTGGCTCTGTGGTCTGCCCTGAACTTGCTGGGCCTAGTAGCCATCTCCCGTGTCCCAAAAGAGACGCAACTACGAAAAGAGGGGGAGAAGACCTTTAGCTGAGTTTCCCTCCCTGAACGAGAAAAAACCCCAAAAACATCATACTGGGAGGTGGGGATGGGGGATTGACATATTCAGGCCTCAGTTTCCCTATCTGGCTGAAGCAGGGAATTTGGACTAGATGACTTCCAGCTCTAAAGGCCTATGAGTCTAGGAATAAAAACTCGAAGTTCAAGTCCATAAGCAATGCCTCTTCCCCCAGCCTTGGGGGGAAATGGGGGAGCTTCTGGCCCATCCTGTGGGCTGGATTACATCGTACTCTAAAGAGCCTCTTCACCTGAGAGACAGCAGGCCTCAGTCCGCAATAAAAGCCAAAGCAACCTGCAGAGAGCCAGGAAGGAGGCCAGCAGCCACTGCTGCAGTGGTCACCAGCATTGGCCCTGCAGGGGGCCAAATCCCCGCACCCCCCCCCCCCACATTACACCTCCCAGAGAGGGCGGGAGCATGTTGCGGGAAACCCTGTGGGCTGTCAGTCACTGCTATCAAAGCAGGAGCTTGGATTGAGGGTAATTAATCATGGTCCCTCTGACAGAAATCCAGAGCCTTATCTGTACCCCAAGAAATGCCGCTGGTCTCCAGTTCCCTCCTCAATAAAGGAGACTGACAGTTCCAACAAAGAGGCCCCTTATCAGATTTCAGCCAGGGAGCTTGACGCAGCCCAAGGGAGATGTGGAAAAGGCTTTTGTGAGGCTGGGACCCAGGGAAGCTGCTGGGGGCTCCGGGGGCTTTAACCCTTGGAGGTGGCAATGCCGCTGGGCACGGGCACTGCTCT